TTTTCTCCTGTAATGAAAAGCAGAGATCATCTCATCAGGATGACTTGATCAGAGAGCACCAGCAGGGTCCAGTTTCTCTGAGTCTCTGAACACTGCTTTGCTGGGTGTTGGTCCTTTCCAGGTTATATATTGTATTAATTTCCTAGGGCTTCTGTAGTAAACTACCACAAACAGGGCGGCTTAAACAACAGAATTTATTCTCTCACAGTTCTGGAGGATAGAAGGGCTTTGGTGGGACTGTGCTCCCTCTGTTTCATGCCCTCTTTCTTGCTTCTGATGGTGGCCCTCAGTCCTTGGCATTCCTTGGCTTGCAGTCGCCCCACTCCAGCACCTACTGCTGTCATCATATGGCCTCTTCCCTCTACCTCTGTGTCTCTGAACTTCTCTCTCCTTGTAAGGTCACCAGTCATTGGATTTAGGACCCACCCCAATCCAGTAAGATCTCATCTTAATTTGACTGCCTCAACAAAGACCCTATTTCCAAATAAAGTCACATTCGCAGCTACTGGAGGTTAGGACTTCAACATTTTTTGGGGGGGGGACATAATTCAACCCGTAACATAATATGATACCAAAATGACTGACACCAGCTCTTTGCCTACATCTTCCCAGGTTCAAAGCCAACAGAAAAGAAAGTGGGTCCCTCTCTTAACCACTTAAGCAAAACCATGGCCTATCATTCACTGTCCCTAATGTGTTCATGCCTGAGCAGTCACAGTGTCCGGAGAGATGTGACACTCAATTTCCCAGTGCTGTGCCCAACCCTGGAGCACGTGGGCCAGGAGTGGAAGAAAGATTGGTTTCCTAGAAGAAAATTGAAAATTATTACCAAAGGGTAATAGATACCACATAGCCAAACAATTCATATTCATTAAAGACAATTTAAAATAGGACCAAGATAATATAATTAAAGTACATGAGTAAAGTGTGATATAGTATAGACCTGTGGGTTCTTATTTGACTACAATTACTTTTCTTTTTTGTTCATTCCCAGTTTTGTTGAGGTATGATCGACTTACATTACAGTGCACATATTTAAAGTGTAAATTTAACGAGTTTTGAAATATGTGAAACCATTATCACAATCAAGATAATAACTGTCTCTATCACCCCCGGAAGTTGCCTCATGCCACTTGTAATCCAGTCCTCCCTGCCCTTCCTATTCCTAGGCAAGGCGTAATCTGCTTTCTGTCACTATTGATTAGTTTGTGTTTTCTAGTATTTTATATAAGTAGATTCATATAGTAGGTATTCTTTTGTGCCTATGTTTTTTACTCAACATCATTATTTTGAGATCCGTCTAAGCTGTTGTGTGTATCAATACCTAATTCCTTTTTATTGCTTAGTAGTATTTCATTGTGTGGATATATCGCAGTTTAGCCATTTACCTGCTGATGAACATCTGGGTTGTTTTCAGTGTGGGGCTATTATCAAGAAAGATCTCAATTGGGAAACCTTTACTTAAAACTAGAATTTTAAAAATTTAATAGTGTATGAGTTATGAGTACGTATCCTATTTACTATAAAACTTACCAAAAGTGGTGATAAAAATTTTCCTTTTTCTTTTACAGATACTGAGGAGAGCAGACAAAAATGGTAAGGCCAAAATTCTATAGTTTCTATTTATTAAACTCTTACAGTTTGGACCACCTTATGAGGAATGTTAAGGAAGAAGGAGCGAGCCCTAGAAATTGACATTTAAAATGTCAGTTTCTTCTACTAGTAAATGTTTTAGGCAAGTTTACAGCTCCAGGTATTCATGAGATTTTGGCAGATGGATTTACATTTGACATGAAGATGGAATTTATGACTTTGAAGTAAGGAGCCTTGTCATACTTGGGCTCTTCCATTTTATGCTTTAAAAAATTTTCCATTTTTGCTTTAAAAACATTTTTTTATAGCAGTAACAGCCTCTATTTATTGTGTGTCTACTGTGTGCCAGGCATTGGGCCATGTGCATTGTGTGCATTATGGCTTAGAATTATTAAGAGATAAAGCTGGGACCTGACCCAGTTCTGTTTGTCACCAAAGTCTAGGCTGTCCACACGGAGCTTCACTGTGGCCTTGGGGATGCTACTGCACACTAGGGTGGTTGCCTGGAAACTGGCATTGCCAGCCTCATCTCCACCCCACGGCACTTGGCCACCACTCTCCTATTTGAAGTATATGCACTGGGAATGATAATCTATAGAAACAGAGAAGTAGGAGGGGAAAATCAGAAGTAAAAAATTACTCTGTCAATTTAATGACGCCTGCATAAGCTGTCATAAGCAACATCTTTTGACTCCTTTATTCCACTAGAAATTTTGTCCCATAGAATAGTAAATCAGAGCTTTTAAGTTTATTCTGCTGCTGTAGAATAAGTACTATGGTAGAACTATATTCTTGACAAGAGTTTCTTGATAAATTTAGGATACAGAGGGTCCTTTCACTTTCTTGAAATCCCATATCTTATCTATGAAGAGAGATTACAGTCAGAGTCCAGGTCTGACAGTTTAAAGACGTAGGTTGTAGTCTAGTTGCCCTTAAGCAGCCAGATCAAGGAAAGCTTGACTGACACCACAGACACCTTTCCACACAATAGAAAATATATTAATCCCAGGAGCAATGAAACAGTGTCCCAGGTCACAGTAATGGTTAACTGTGCCTGTCAAAATATTTTCTCAAATTACATTGTAGTGATTGGTATATTATCAGTTCAAAGGTGCTTATCCTTTTTTTTTTTTTCTCTTGAAGCATTTGATTACTATTAAAGAGAGAAGTAATGATGCTGCTGGCAGCTGCATGTCCTGTATTTCCTCACATGTCCCCTCCCATGCAATACCTCTTCCTTCCTTGTTCCCTTTCCTAAAGTCCGATCCCAACTGCAGTCAGAGCTACCTGCCCTTCTGCTCTGACCTTGCACCGTCCTCGCCATGCATCCTCCTGTGCAGCCTACCGAAACACTCTATTCTCTGAGCATCCCCCCATCTGCCACACCTCTGTGATGTTGCCCTGCTTTGACCTTTCCCTGCTATCACTTCCCACCCTTAGACAACTTGAGAACTCTCAGGTATTGATTACATTCCTGCTCAAAAGGCACCCTATCTGGGAAGCCTTCCCCGGTTCCCTGGGCAAGGCCCCAACCACTCTCTCGGTGCTCTTAGCACTTTGGTTCATATTGATTATTGCCCTGTGGTGGAGGCTGCAGTTGTTCGCTGGAACTTCTACTGCTCGAAGCCGGACATGCCTCTCTAGGGCAAGGGACTAGGTGCCCAATAGATGTGCATTTAATGAGTTAATAATGATTGATGATGTTCCTCTTCATTATCCTTCTTCCTTCAATCTGTTCACTCTCACTCCTGCCTTTCATCCCACCTTACTCTTCTCCCTCATTCTCAGTGTAAAGTAGGTGCAGAGCAGAACCAGGCAGGTCTGGGTTTAAATCACAGCTTGGCCACTGAATAAACTTATAAGAAGCATAGATAATGACATCTATGTATGTCGTGGGGTTATTATGAATAATAAATGAGATAATACATGTAAAGTTTGCAGGGAAGTGCCTATCATATTGTAAGAACTTAATATTTGCTCATTTTGCTGCCATTATTATTAATATTATCACCATTGCTGCTGAAAGCTTGAGCTGGCTTTGGTGCCATGCTGCTTTGGCTATCTGAGACACTTGGAGAAGTTTCAGTTATTTCTATTGAAGTGGAATTTAGTGCAAAAGAAAAATAAGGCTATTTACCATACATGCAAAATTGAAAAGGGAAAAGGAAGGTGGATAATCTAATGTAAATGAGAAGATACTAGAATAAAAGAGTAACCATATTTCTGTACCATGTGTTCATCACATTCTGTATTTACAAATAAACAGCTGCTACATGTCTTTGATATTTTGGTGACAGAATCTCATGTGATAGAATCCTTTGTGGACAGCCTGATTGGTGATGGAAGAATGGAAGGAATACGAGGTGATAAGCAGTGTGAGGGTTATCCTGCTAGAGGACAGATTTAGCTTTTGGAATCTATTTGACAAAAAGGAGAAGCTGCTGGATAAATGGGTGGTAAATGCATGATTACTGATCAGCTACGATAATGGTGTCTTGGAGAGTTTTGTTTTTGTTTTTTTGGTTAGGTGTTGTTTTTAAATCATAGGCTAGAATCCTAGACATAAAGATAGACCTGAAAATAGGATTGCTTAGGAGAGACACTAATGCTTTGGTCTAAAGAGCCCAGAATTAAATGTAGAAACACAAAACTCCTCCGAAAGCTTACTTACACACAGGTTGAATGAAAATGGAAATAATACATGGGTATTTGTAAAATTTGCAAGAAAGATATTTTAATTAAAATTTTTTATTTTAAGATACTTAATTGACAATGATTGAATGTATTCAAGCTGTATAACATGATGATCAGATATACGTATATATTGTGTAACTATTACCACGATCAGGTTAACTAACATATCCATCATCACCCATGCTGTAT